ATCAAACATGTATGAAATGCCTGGATAACAAATACTATTCTTCAATTCATTCTCCAGCTGTATTCTTACCTGGTGCAGCCCCAGATAGCTGCAAAGATCCCTCTCAGAATACAGATTTACAGATGTCCAACATGTCCATAAATGCCACCACTTTTGCTTCTGTGAGTGGCATATATTTTCCTCTGGGAATTCTCCTCCAATTGTACACTATTAAGTTTCCCCATGAATGTTACCAGAATTCTTATTTTTACCCAGCATAGTAGCTTAAAGTCAAAGAGATTTTTCTTCTTGTGTGCAAAAGTAACATCTTTTAGTTTAGATTGATACTTACAAGTGATTTAAAACCAAAGACTAAACATTTCATGTTCACGTGAAACACAATTAAAATAACAAATATAAGTTCTGTTTATATTTCTGTTTGTGGTTTTAACAGTTCCTTACCATCAATTAAGTGAACTTTGGCTATGGTTCTGTTAAGAAATGTAAAATTCAAATATAGTGATGGAGATTGGCATGCATTTTTTATTTTCACATACCCAGTTCATTTGGAGAAATGAAAATTTGTCTGGCTAAATAATTCATATTAATTACCAAAGCTTAAATAGGAACTTATATACCAGATCACTGTGATTGTTTAAACTATATGCTTTTGCTTGCTCTCAGATATTAGTAATGAGGCTCTTAGTGGCATATACATATGCACACATATATGAGAATAAAGAATAGGGATGATGGATGTCAGCATACTTACGTATGCATCCTTAAATATATTCTACATGAAATTTTTCTGTGAAGAGAGACTAGTTAGAAAAATTACTTATAATTTAAAATTTGCTATTAGTTATATATCATGGATGTTTTGAAGGTAAAAGACATTTTGAAAATAATCATAGACACACCCCAACCCAGCTTCTGAATCACTTAGTGATTAGTGACTCATTTCTCAATTACTATGTCTACTGTTTATTTTTATTGTTTAAATTCAATATTTTAATTGCAATCTATAATTTTTTTTAAAAAAATTTGCCTTGGTAGGTTTTCTTTACCACTAGGAAAATATGTAAGTGACTAACACATAGATATACAAACTGGTTTTGCTCATTTGAAGCAAACCTAGATTTCTAGGCGCCTTTTCCTGAGACCTCATCTATCACTATCACCCCTAATCTACATTCTGGAATATCAGCTGGACATTCCCTAAGCTCCCCAAAATTCAAGTTACCTGAACTCAAGCTCACCATGTTTCTCAAGCCTGTTAATGTTTTTGCATGCTCTTCTTTGACATATTACACATTACCCATTTCCTAGCCCAGAACTCTGGCTTTCATCCTTGCTCCTCCCTGTCCTTCTTTTTTTTTGTCTTTTTCCTTTTTGTCGGTACCGGGAATCGAACTCATGACTGCCTGCTTTGCAAGGCAGGCGCTTATGCCGCTGAGCTAAATCCTCAGCCCCCTCCCTGTCCTTCTCTCCCAACATTCATTCATTCACCAAGTAATGGGTAGTTTTATCTTCCGGATGTGTTGGGGTCTCCTCACTTCCGTCCATCCTCCTGCCTCTATGCCATCCCAGCCCTCCCTGCCCCTCTTTTCCAGAACCACTGGCGTCTCCATCTCTTCTCCCAGCTCCCAGTGTCACCCTCCTTCCATTGCCTCTGTTGGATCAGGTGTGAATTTCAGTCACAAGCTCAAGGATGCTAAATTGAAAGTCTTTATTTTTTTATAACTTAATTTTAATTCCTGGCCCTGAGCCCTGATCCTCCCTAGTGTAAAAATCCAATCTTGTCACTCTCAGGTAAAGTCAGTCCAATTTGGCGGTTTCGCAGGTTGCTCAAGATTCTAAAACGTCTTCCTTTCATCTTATTTTCCTATATTGAAACTGCTCCTTGCTTTTGGGAACTGGGGCTGTTTCTAGATTTATTAAATATATGGTAGAGAGTTGAATTTCATTTTCAAAAGCCGGAAATGTTTTTAGGATTAAGTATATCCCACGCAATACTTCCGGCACTTGAATACAAAAAAATCATTTGTTGTTTATGTGATATTCGGTTTAACTGGGCATCCTGCATTTTATCTGGCTTCTCTGGGGAAAGAGAGGAAAGAAGCTATAACTGAAGCCAGTTTCTGGTCATGACTAAAGATCTGGGGATTGTCACTGCATTCACCTGTCCAGTCCCCAATCCTTTTGTCTTCTTTGTCTTTAGATCTCCACTTTTGGTTGGGCAGCGATGCACTCAAGAGGAAGCATGGTATTTGTGCTTCTAGACTCCTTGCACCAAGGGAAAGTGGTATGTGGCAGAGGTCTGCCAACAGGACCAATGTGGAAACCAACTAGTAATTGCAGAAATGCTTTTATTTTTCTCCAAAATTAGGAAAGCCTCAGTTGATGTCATCTCATGTTTCCATTTCTTCTTGCTTTGAAGGTGGGCATGATGTTTGGAGCAGTGGCAGCCCTATAGTGACCAATGGGACAAGCAAGTGACAAAGGTCATGATAATCTCAGACACATCAACCTTGAACTTGCCAGATCACTGATACAAGCCCTGAGCTGCTTAACTTTAGGCAAAACATCAAAACCTTTATATTTGAAGTCTCTGTGGAACAAGTTCTCTCTGATATAGCCAAATGCAATCCTAGCCTGTGGGGTCCTAAATAGCGACCATCTCTTGTGCATTTGACCCCATCCTTGTTTTTTCTTCTATCTAGAAATATTCTGGGTGGAACCCTCCCAGAGCTCCTCAGTGCACCTCATTTCAATTATGGCTCTGTCTTCCTTCATCCCTACTAGGCAGCCCATAATCAGCCTTTCAGCACACAGCATCTCCCCATGGACAGATAACACAGTGGCACCACATGGGTCTTCCCTTTCCAGAATTTTTGTCTCCCGCAGAAACTCCTGCAATATTGCGTTATTTTTCCTGTGCTATTCCAGGGCCATGGATATTATAGAGCTGGTTCTGGTCCTCTTCTGCCTAGAAACCCTTAATCATTTGATGCATTTCCCATGCCCTGTGCAGGAGGAGACAGCCAGGGGAATGTTGCTTATCTTCCTGATTTTAAGATGCCCAGATGGGAAGCAGGATACAAATATCTTCTACTCAGAGCCCACTGGATTTCACATGATGTTGGCATGTTCTATTCCATGAGCCATCTGGCCTCCAACTGGAGTAAAGAGAAGAGAGGACATGGCCCTTGCCAGGCAGCATTTTGCCACCAGCTTCTACATCCTTTTCTGCTCTATCTCACTGGGAGGAACAAACAACCATTATTCTTCTCTTCCTCAGTTTGGACACTTCTCAGTCTCATACTCAATGTGGGTTTTGACTTCTTCATAGTAGGAATGTGTTTGTTTAATTCTCTTTATGGGCTAGTTCTGCAATAACTTTGTCAGCTGGGGGAGTGCTTTTTTTAGGGGCTTTTTCCAAAAATACAATAGTGTCCCATCAGCTTCTACACTCAGACTTTCCAGTGGCATCCATTACCCATCACTCCTTGCCTGGAATCTAGACTTGTTATCACTGCTTTTACCTATAATCTCTTCATGGTCTGAGCCTTGCTATAAAAAATGAAAAAAGAAAAAAAAAAAAAAACCACTTTGTATCTCACCACTCTCCTCCTGATCACTCTTCGTCCTATACCCAGATCTACTGAATAAAAAATTCTGGGCAGATGGAGCCTGGAAAGTTTTGCTTTGTCTCATTTTGTTTTTAGCATTATAGATTAATCCAATGCATAGCCAGGAAAAACTAGTAGAGCAAAGTTTCAAATTTCCATGAGTATTTTTGCATAGGTAGTTTCCTCTGGCTCCTAGAAGAATCCCATGGTGTAGGGAGAGCATATACAAATGTATCTGGATTTTATAGGTAATAAATCAAGTCTACAAAAGGTAGTCAAACTGGGTTCAACCTTGAGTATCTTAATTTTGGTCTCTTCTTCCACACTGAAATGTTTGTTGTAGTATTATGGCATCAGGTCAGTTATTCTAAATATTGAATTGTCTCCTTTTTTAAAAATGCAAAATAATATAAAACCATATCTTGTAGCATCTAGTTATCCTTTTATGAAACAATAGGCACTTTATGTCTACTATTTCCTAATTATATTTACTTCTTGTATACAAATTTTCAGTCATTAATTATTGTTCATCCATGGTAATTGTTGGTTGTGTTCTCCCACTACAGTGAAGACTTAAGGTGCTAAATCTATTTAGACTGGATCGGTGAATAGCAATTAAAATACAACAGTAGTTTGTTGAATGAACAGACGGAATATTTATCTGTCACTTCATTTTTCCCCTTGCATTTTATTTTTTATTGAGGTTAGGAGTGGTTTTTCTTTGTTTGTTTGGTCTTTATTTTTCTTTGTTGAGATCATCTGTTATGAGATTGTTTAGGCTGTTCTCAAACTCCTGGACTCAAGTGATCTACCTTCCTCAGCCTCTCATATGATGGGATTAAGCAATGAGTTATTAATCTAACAGACCATTAACTTAATTTTAACTGAAAAAAATATATTTAGTAATAGATACCAATAAATATTTTCTCCATGAATGAATGAATGAACTCCCAAAAACCACAATGAAACTACCTAATAGAGAGAATGCATTGCTTTGATATTGAATACCAACCTTGGTTTTTGCCTATCTTCCTGGGAACTTCAACTGGTTGATTAGTTGGTTTTTAGTAGGAGACTGATGTATCAAACATTTTTTAATATTATCTGCCCAACTACCTTATTTGTCCTTATCAAAGGGAACTCAGCTCTGGAACTGATAGATTTATAATGTAATTCCTTTAAACTTACTGTATGTAGATAGCTCTTGGCATTTTTCATTAAACCGACGTTGTTCAATTAAGTGTTTGAAGCAAAGATCTTTTGATAGTTTGAGCGCTTTCACTGAAAGGAGGGGAAAAGCGCAGTTCCATCTGTAATTATGGAGAACGAAAACAGTGCACGATTGAAAGGACTGGAAGGCAACCTTCATGTTCTGGTTCTTCTCCCCAGTTACAGGAACTCGTACAAGAAGAACATCTGTGTGGACATGCTGCGAGAGGGCTATCACAAGTCCTTCAGGGAGGTCTTCGCGCTGATGGAGCAATGGGATGCCCTGAGGGAGGCTGCGAGACTGAGGTCTGTCTTCTGGCTGCAGAAGCCTCTGGAGGAGCAGCTGGATAAACTGGATTTCCTCTACCACTGCCTAACCAGGGCAGAGGAGGCTGAGAGGAAAGGTAAGTGGAGGCAGGGATCCGAGGAGGGCAGACTGGGCTCTGTGCAGCGCAGTGGGGCATTCCCAATTGTTGTCTGAGTGAATTTGAAGCATGAAGATAACTTAGCACAGTTTAACCTGGTCAGTTAAGTGTATTTATGGGAGAAAAGAGAGGGAAAGCGTGGTCACAGGCCTGCCGCTGCCTTGTCATGCTAATCCTGGTAAGATGGTGCATGGCACCTACAGAGTCTCCAAAACTTCCCAGTGGTTTAAACCTTTCCCAGAGCGAATCATAAACCTTTACATGTTTCCTGTGTGTTATCTCAACACTGACTTTCCCTGAGGACATACTTTCAAGATTACTGTCACTTGCAAAGTACACTGATTTTCAGCATTTATATATTGAACTTCAAAAGTGTTGTGAAGTCTTAATGATAGGAATCCAAGGATTTATGTTAGAGAGTAATGACAACACAAGCAAATGCCTGCAATTCACTGTTGTGATTAAAATTGTTCATTGTGCATTTTCCATGAAGTCATTTCTAATAAGTCTCGTTTTGGCTCAGTCTAATATTTTCCAGAAAGTTAATATTTATTTTAAGTATCAAAATATTTTAATCTTCACTATAGTTATGTGGATATTGTTGTCACAAGTATTTCTTAGTTATGTATTAGGAACTGGCCATTTTGTTTATTTATTTTTAATTTATACATTTTATGATGTACATTATGGTAATTTGATACACTGTATACAATGTGTAATACAGTGTGTAATAATCAAGCCAGAGTAATAAGCATTTTCATCTCTTCAGCCATTAATCACTTTTATGTGTTGAGGTTTCATGCAGTTTTTGTCATTTTGAGATAGATCAGAGATTCTCTTGCTGGGTATTTACACTATTGTACTAAAGAGGAAGCAGGAATAATTCTTTATCTCTGCAGTATGGAGCCTCTTGCTGAATTTCTTTCTCTCCCTTCTCCTCTCATTTTTCCCAATCTCAAGTGGCCACAAAGGAATTGGTCACTCATGATGAAAAGGGAAAAAGCAACTCCTACAATTCGACTTGTCAATTCAGTATTCTTGATGATTCTTATCCTCAAAGTTTTGGCTGAAAATATCACAGGACTCCAAAATAAATAAATAAACAAATAAATAAATAAAAAATACCAGGTCTTACTAACATGTGGGCTTCATCTTGTGCCTTTGGAGGATATGAGTATGGGTGACATTTTCATTATCCTGGGTTACCGGGAGAAATGTTAGGAAGACATGACCAGCAATGGGGGCGGGGCCAGCAGAAGTCTTTCAGCCTCTCTGGTGGCACCAGTGCATGTTTCCCATCAGGTTGTGACCTGACTTAAAAACACAAAGAATACAAAATGTGAGAGGTAGCACAAACCGGGGTGTCAGGTAGAGTGGATAGAGTGGGATAGCAGGTGATCATTTATATTATAATATTTAGCTGCGTAATTGACTTTAAAAATAGACCCTTGGTGAACCTTAAAATGTGATTTATACAATTTCTCAAGAAATTAACTATTGTAAAATGAAATACACTCCTCTGTTAAAAAAAAAAAAAAGCAACTAAAACTACATTCCAGAGTTAGCCTCAAATTCTGAAGTATCTACACTGGAAGCAAAATTAACTAAGACAAAATTTGTCCATCAATGCTTTTTTTAAGTTGAATTTCATCATATTCATTGTTTAAAATAGAGGTTTACATTTCAGTACCAGAAGTCTGAGCCAAATATCCGACTTGTCATAAGGTGTCATAAATGAGTCAGCTTGTCATAAAATATTTTGTCATTAAAAAGAGTGAAAATGCTAAATGATCTGTTTTAAGGGAGAATGCATTTTAATCTCCAGTCTTCCATTGAAAACATAACTATTCATATAAATAAAAATACTTCTCCAATTTAAAAAGCTAATAACTTCTAGCTTTAGAAAGGAAAAAGTTGTTATGCAAGCGGTAAAAGCAATGAAAAAATTTTTCTTCACTGAATGGCTTATTATATATTTGCAGTAACTAAAGTTTCATTTGTTAAATAGGACAAAATCACCTCTTGCTCAGAATAATGCTTCTGTAGAGTTATCTCCCAGCAGAATGCACTGACTTTAGCCCGGCTCAAATACAGAAACTTAGATGTGTTGTGACAAAATATTAATGGAAAATTTTTAGTTAAACAGCCCACAATGTTAATATGGTTATTTTTAAAATTTGTATAATTTTTTTCATGGGCGACACATGAACTTTATTAAGGATAATTGTGACTAGAATAAAGCATGTCCTAAAAATGGAATTTTATATTTGCTTTTATTAACGAATTAGTCCTAACTCTTAAAATATATATATGTTATTATATTTTAATATGTGTGTACATGTGCATATATTTATATGAAATCTAAAATACAGAACTCTGTTCATGGTCGTGCAGTCTGAGATAACTATCCTGAAATAGCACACCTCACCATCCTCTTGGTTTCTCATCAGAAAGACTGTCTCTCTAGGCTCACAGAGAAGTTCATCTGATCAAAGTTATGCACAGCAATAGTGATCTGGGGTCAGTTCCCTTTCTTGAGAGTTAAAAGCAGTAACCTAGAATTTTGTAAATGACTTTAGAAAACGTTTCTTGTTTGTTATAGCAAAGTTGCATTTCAAGTAAGCCAGTCATTGTTTCTCGGATTATTTTCCACTAGTTGTAGTGTATCTTCATCTCTAATATACTGCATTTCATCTGTCAGCCATTCTTGTGAATCATCTCTTTACTTTGTATAGCATTGTGATTAGTGTCTTAGTCTTCTAGGGCAGAGCAAGAGTTGGCAGTAATGGTAATGAGTGACCAAATCAATAGATAATTCAAACATTGTTTACACTTGAGACTTTTAAATTATAGCCAAAAATTGAATAATAATTTTTTTCTCATAACATGTTTAACACACTGAAGTATTTCTACTCAAGCAAAGCTCCATGGGATATTTATAGCTTTTTATGCAAGAAAAACAAAAGCAAAACAAAACAAAACTGTATGGTAAGGCAAGTTTGGGAAAAAACAGATGAACAAACATGAAGATAAGTGTGTTGCTTTACTGAAAGATTTGCGAGAGCCTTTGGCATGCCATTGTGTGTTGCGAGCTTCACTGATATAGGAAAATACCAACAACATTTGATAGGTTTAGTCCCCATGGAATGTCCTCTTCAGGGAGCATAAAATCTAAATAAAAAACTAACCATAGAATTTATTTTCCTCTTCTTAATATATATGCTCACAATTCAAAGAAGGAGTTCACCTACCAGAAGAAAAGCCTATTTACACTCTAAAGGGTATAGAGTATAGCTACAGAAAATAGCTGTTATGCTTAAATATGAAATTGTAAGAGCTTATACAAGTACAATACCTAGTTCAAAAGAAAACTCTATGGGGATCTTTTTAATTACTGAAAGTAGAAAAATTATTGCAGGAATATATAAAGTTAAACTTTATATTTACCTTCTATTAAAATAGAGAATGCAATATGTTTTACTTACTGCCATGTTAAAGTGGTAACTCTAGTTGGTAAATAGGACCAAGAATATAAAATATTCAAAATCAGACCTCAGCAGTCTGATTAAATTTGTTGAATAAATGTGTATTTTAAAAAATAACCTCAGCATTCTGGGAGTCTGAGGCAGAAGGATCACAAGTTTGAGCCCAGTCTGAGTAACCTATCAAGTTAGCAAGACACTACCTCAAAAGGTATAGAAGAAGCAAAAGAAAGAAAGAAAAACTGTATGGAGACGTAGCTCAGTGCAAAGACCCTGAGTTCAATCTCTAGTAGAAAAAAAAAAGGAAAGAAATAAAGGAAGGAATGAAGGGAGGAAGGAAGAAAGAATGAAGAAGAGATGAAGGAAGAGAAGAAAGAAAAACACAAACAAATGAAGTATATGCAAGAAGTGGCGTAGGTTTTACAAATTTCTTTTGAAACACTGGAGTGACTTATTTACAGTTCTATCCACTTTTTCGGGACCTTTTGGCTTAATCACGTAGGTGTGTGTGTTAATGTGTAATATTTTTCATAATTGTGGCCCTTCAGGAACATACTGATTTTTCTGGTAGGAGAGAGCAATTAGCGTCAGTGAATTCTAGCTCATAATGATTGTGATGAAAAAGCCTCCTGAAACTGTAACCCAGGGGCTATGACATACTTACAAATGTGCTTTCAGAATAATTGTCTAAAGATACAGTTTGTTAATGTGCTCATGTTCACCATTTAAGAGAGGCAGACATTTTTTTAACACATGAGCATTTGTGTTCACGTTTACTCCTGCTGGGGAGTTTTTAGGATTGATTCAAATCACGACTCACTTACAAGGCATCCTGTAATCATTATTAGTCATATGGCTCCCCACTCCGGATGAAAACACCTGGGTGTTTCCCCATCCTCCTTGCTTCTTCATTTGTACTATTTTTCCAAAGCTAAGGAGTATTGCTTTCTCTCTCATTTCTCAATATTTTTCAACCCTACAGTGACAAAATGATACTAATACTCCTTTCTTCTAAAAGAATTAAATGCATCACTAACAGATATTCTCTTCCACATTTTACAGTCCTGTGCTTCAGTCAAATACTATGTCGGTTTCTAAAATGTTCTCAGTTTTCAGAAAGGCCTTTGTTGCTTTGTTATGTGCATATTATTTAACTAATGTTTATTTTAATATCTAAAATAAAGTAATTTTGGTATTTGGATTTGATTTGTGAAAGTTAATCAGATGATTTTAGACTAGGACTTGAACTCAGGATATTTGCACTGAGCTACATCCTCAGGCCATTTTTTTATTCTGAGACAGAATCTCACTAAATTGATAAATTTCCCAGGTTGGACTCTATTTGTGATCCTCCTGTCTCAGAATCTCAGAGTGCTGGGATTAGAGGCACAGCGCACCATATCTAGGTTTAACCACATTTTTTTTTCAATTTTTTTTTTTTTTTTTTTTTTTTTTTTTTTGTGGTACTGAGGATCAAACTCATGACCTCGCACTTGCCAAACAGGCGCTTATGCCGCCGAGCTAAATTCTCAGCCCCTTTAACCACATTTTTAAGAAAAAAAAATGAATAGGGAACAATTGCCACAATATTAACTTACTATTCCAAAGGATGTGTCCCAAGACATTTTCCTAATGTGGTTTACAATTTTTTTTCTCTTTGAAGGACACCTTGGCGATATGTACAATAACTTACATATTCTGGCCTGTTTCTTCGATAACCCTGAAGATAAGTGGGTAAGGAACCACTTCTATGAACGATGTTTTGAGGTTGCAAAACTGATCAAATTTGATGGAGGGAAGAAAGAAGCTGAAGCAGAAGCACACTTGGGCCTTCTGTACGAGGAAGAAGGTAGGTAGCCTCAGTCAGGCTCCTGTGAGTGGGCTTTGCTGGACCCGAGATGGCACAGTCAGAAAAGACAAGGGAGTGGGGGGAAAGACCAGATTAAAAGAATGCAGATGCTAGAGGCCAAAAGGCAAAGCGGGGCCTGTGAACTCAGCTTCAGCCTTTGGTGCAGAATGGTCCTTGCAGGATTTCTCAGCCCAGAGACACCAGGATTTGCAAGGAGAGAAACCCTGCACCCCGTGTTGCCCACCCTCAGCCCATAGGCCGCACCCATTCAACTGGTTTGCTTTTCTATTTACAAAGATGTTAGAGAGAAAGTAAAATGTACACTTTGATATTCCTAATGCCCCATTCCTATACATAAAATCCAAAAACTGTCTATATAACTTATTGTACAGTAATTTCTGAAGGAAATGTTCCTTTAAATATAAATTCACACTTAATTAATAGAGTTATCTTAAGACAAACCAAGTCAAAAACCATGCCAAAATGATCAGAAATGGATTTTTTGAGGTGAGTCATCAAGGATTGCAAATAGGAATTTAAGAATTAAAATTATTTATGAGAGGATAATGTGTAGGTAATTTACAAATAATATACATTTATGAGGAAGAAGTAAATATTTTATTGTGATGTTCTTTCATCTTTCAAATAACTATCTGATTTTTTAATAAAAGTTCACAAGACAAGTTTAAAATTTTTAAGATAGGACCATAAAGAACTTTGAAGAAGATGTATATATGTATATATATATATATATATATATATATATATATATACATATATGTGTATATAGTTATGGTTGATACAGTGCGTCAACTTGAGAAGTTTAGAGCTGAGACACTCAGTAGGGAGCCAAGATCCTTACTTTGTGCAAAGGAGGGCACAGAGATTTTGTGAACACTATATCCCCCTTAGAAGGGTGAATAGACTATGTACAATATAAGGGAGGAGAAGAGGTTTGTTTATTCCCTTTTGTTCTGGCTGCTTTCGATTACTGCTGCCTTGAAGTATTGTTCCAGTGCTATCCCATCCTCCCTTGCAACCAGCTGATTGTGGGCTGAACCCTCCAAAACATGGGAAGCACCTGGGACTCCAAAACTTCCTGTAGGAAGCCAGAAAAGTATCAAGACAAGGGAGAAAAATTCAATTTCAGACCACTACCCCACACAGAACAAGTGCAGGAGATATAGACATAGAATAAATTGGAAGTCTACACCTGAAATTTCTGAAATGATAGCAACTGAAGTCAAGAAACAATTTCATGAAGCTGTGAAACAAATCAGATCAGAAGTAATATCTCAGGTAAAATAAGAAATGACAATCATAATGAAAGAATTGCTGAGCATTTCTAAAGAAGACACATTTTAAAAACAAAAGAGGACCATAGGAAAATGGTGAGAACTTTGAATGAACAATATTGGGATGAATTACGATGCCTGAAACAGATTCAGAGAATTTCAGTGCATGAAACAGATTTGAATCCAGGGAACTAAAAACTCCATTGGAAGCAAAACTACTTGAATACAACTGAAGATAGACTTTTAGACCTTGAAGACAGGATTGCAGCTAGCAACTGCAAAAGGAAAGATCTCTTGAAAATTACAAGGAACCAGGAAACAACAATTCAGTGGCTGCAAGATGACATAAAGAAAACTAATTTAAGACTGATAGGTGCCAGCAAAAAATCAGGAGTCAACACAAATGACATAAAAAGACTATTAACAGAAGTAATTGCAGAGAATTACCAAGAATGGAAAAAAGACCTGACATACATATAAGTGAGGCATATAGAACTCCAACTAGCCATAACCAAAATGTCTATATAAAAATCAAGATCCCAGAAATTCAGCACAAGAGCAGAATACTGAAAGCTGTTGGAGAAAAAGAAACAGTTAACCTACAAAGGAAAACTCATCAGAATCATGACATACTTCTTTCTAAACACAAATCACCAAGTCAAGAACTTGGAGTGAAGTAACTCAAGTCCTGAAAGAAAACAACTTACAACCCAGATTGATGTATCCTGAAAAACTATGTTTCAAAATTGATGGAGAACTAAGATACTTCCATGACAAAGAACAACTGAAGGAATTCATGGCCACCAAACCAACCCTACAAAGAGTACGGAAGGCTATTCTAGAGAGAGATAAAGATGACCATGGTTCCAGGAACAGCAGAAGAGGGAATCATCAAAAGGGGCAGGCAGTTGAACACATGGAAAGTAGAGAACCAGCGGCAGGAAAATCGCATGGTAGAGACAAGCCAGTGCATGTCAGTCATCGCAATCAATATAGATGACTTCGATTCTTCAATAAAAAGAAACACAGCCGCAGTGGATCAAGAAACAAGATCCATCAATATCCTGTATACGAGAGACACATTTAACTCAAAAGGAAATTCATAGACTGAAAGTCAAACGGGAGAAAACAATGTTCCATGTGACAGCAAACTAGAAAAAAGCAGGGGTAGCTTGCTCATCAACTGCAGAATGGATAAGGAAGATATAATATTTTTATACAATGGGAAACTACTCAATTTTAAAAATGGACAATCTTGAGGCTCTTGTAGGTAAATGGATGCAGCTTGAGATCATACTCATTGGTAAAATGGTTCAAACTCACGAAGGTGAACATCATGTTGCTTCCCTAGTGTAAAAACACTAAAGGGGTTAGTGGGATCCAAAATGTAGAACAGATATTGAGAAAGTAAAAGGGGGAAATGTCTAAAAGTGGAAGGAACAACTGGGATGGGAGAAAGGAGAAAAAAAAGAAGGGAAAGATTATATGTGTGTATATGTATATATATATATATATATATATATATATATATATGCATATATACAAGATGGATAATTATACTGCTAATTTCTATTAGTCCAACATAAAGAATGGTTCGTGCTTTCATTGATGATTATTTTTTCATATACATCAGTTAATTCGAACAACTACTTTGAAACAACAATATGCAACACATTGACCATTGTTAATTCCCTAATATTGTTTTGAAATTCTGTACCATTGTTTTTAACCATTTTCTCTTTTTAAAATTGAAAAACCTTCTGTAAAACCAAATGTTTCAATACAGTGTGATTTATAATGACTCCAAATGTGGATAGTTAAATACATGAAGCAATTTGCATGTAACAGACTTAGATAAAGCTACAAATTAGAGCAAAATTCACTCATTCAGCAAATACTAATTGAGAGCCTAGGATCAGGGAACAAAACAGCGAACAAGACAAAGCCCTGTTCTTGTGGAACATAGCCATTTCTAAGTTCAGGTTAGTTCTGTTCTGTGTCTTCACCTTGTTGAATAATCGGTGAACCACCAATCTCTAGAACCTTTTCATCTGGTAAAACTGAAATATTGTACCCATTAAACAATTCTCTTATCTTCCACTCCTGATTTTTTTAAATCTCTGAATGCATTTCCTTTAGAGGATTTATACATTGCTTATTTAATTGATTCATTCATCTACCCATTGACTTACTCAATAAATATTGGAGGGTCTCTTGTCCTTTTGTTAGTAGCCATGGCACCAAGGTTTTCTGTATCATTTTAGTGGCAGACACAGGGGTCAAAGGCAAGGCTGAGTTTGGGAAGCGTGATCAGGATGGGGTACTGTACTCCAACACTCACAAGCTCTTTAGCTTGTTTGCATTTGGATGCCTGACCTTCCAGCATGATAGAGTACAGCCATCTTCCACAATGAATAGAATTTTTGGCTTTGAAATATTTTAAAGAACAAAAGGCTTTACAATGATCAATTCTGAAATATTTTTTCTATGCCCTTACACAGTCTAAGGACCCTAGCACCATACTTTTATTGCCTGCTATATAAATTAACAAGAATCCATGTCAATAAAAAGTGTTTGATGATAAAATATTATCTGCAACCTTGCAGTCTGGAGTTGAATTTTCTCCAGAAGAGTAAACCAGAAATGTCAAGACTCTGCAGCTAGAGGGGAGGGGGACTCACCTGCTGTAAGGGTCCTGCTGAGAAGATGGTGCTGTAGCTTCCGCCCATCTGATCTGATTGGTCCAGACAAGCGAATGGAGGCCCCACAGCAACAGCTAGGCGGCAGCTGTGCACAGGGGCAGGTGGCAGCATCCTGATCCCACGGGTACCCCCATTCAGGTTAAAAGAGGACATTAACTGGCAGATGGTAGTGGGCAGGTTGTCAGGGCCCAACCAAGCAGGCTGCAGTCCAGGGCAGGGCTCCAGCTCCCTCGGGGAACTGTAGAGCAAATGAGGAACATGAGCTGAAGCCATGGTCATAAAGACTGGGCACATGGTTGCAGTCAGGGGTAATGTTCAACCCAGTGGCACAGATGTGACCAGGCCTCACCCTGAGCCCCCAGGACAGAGTGGAGCACAGTAGACAGATCGAACCCATGCCGCTGCTGACAATGGACCTGCAAGATTCAGCTCACCCTGTGTCCCTAAGACTGACAATCTCTTCAGGTCAAATATCTTCAATCCTCTCTCAGGGAAATAAACATAGAGTAGTCACACACTGACCATACTTGCAGCAAATCATTGGTATATCTTCTTTCAGAGTTGTTATCTTATTAGTAAGAATCTTATCTTGCAAACAGGACATGTGGGCAAGCAGCATTCATACATATCTGGAGCCCTCAGTCCCTGGAGAAAGCTCTCAGATACCAGGTCAACAAAAGATAAATTTATCCATTCATTTATTCATTCCAGATCAGCACACAGAGGTCTAGCAGGGCCAGATATCAGACCCTGAGAGACGAAAGACTAAGAGACATGTCTAAGGAAGCACTGATTCCTCCTTTGATCTAAGCTGAAGCCAGAGTACAACAGCAAGATAACATAGTAGAGCCCTAATTTTAGTTTTAACCTGCCAGGTCAGCACCACCTTCTTGCCACAGTGGTTTAAGAAATGGTCTGAGTATCATCTGTGCTGTAATCAATTTAAGCCTCACCTTTGCCCTAAAGGACCTACAAGACAAGCTTGGTTCTTCCTAGCCTTTAA